CCATTGGGTAATCAACGGTCCAAAACATGCTCTTGGTATATATTTTGTTTTTTATCTTTTAATAATTATTTCTTAATTTAATTGTCCTGTTTTATAATAATAATATATTGAATAAATATTACACCTATTAACACATTTTAATTATATTGTTTCAATCATCGTCATGATAAGTGTTTTGATCGTAATGAAATGTTTTAATTTTACTTTAAAGTTCTATGAAAATCTTAATTTGCAAATTTGTGTTTCATTAAACGATTCTTAAAAACAATGAAATTGTTAAATTACTACATTTTATTTAAATACTAATCTAATAACTCATAAAAATATAAATTTTTGTTYAGCTTTTGATTTAGCTGATAATGGTTTTGACGTATGGATTGGTAATTTTCGTGGTAACGTTAATACAAAAGCTCATGTGAATAAGTCAACAGCAGATCCCACCTTTTGGGAATTTTGGTATGTATATTTAGTTGGTGATAATACTAAAGATCTGGGACTGCAAATAAGCGCAGGAAAAAATCCAATATATGATAACCGATAGAGTTCAGAATATGCCTAGTACTGGAACTTTGGTCGTCCGCGATACAACTTTTGAGCGGGTCAGCAACTTTAGGTATATTTAGGATCGATCATAAACCAGACGAACGAAATTAACTAAGAACTTAAGAAAAGAATCAATCTAGGCAAATAATGTTTTTATTCGGTTAACAAATTACTCAGCAAGTGGTTGCTGTCTAGGCGATTAAAAATCAGGATATACATTACAATCATCCTGCCGGTAGTTCTTTATAGTAGCGAATCGTGGTCGCTTACGTTATGGGACGAAAAGAAATTTAGGGTTTTCGAAAACAAAGTTCTTCGTAAAATCTTCGATGCAAAACGCGATGATGATATAACAGGCGAATGGAAAAAACTCCATAACGTTGAAGTCCATCAATTGTACAACAAACCGGACATTATCAACGTCGTAAAATCACGTCGATTAAGATGGGCTGGTCACGTGGCGCGCATGGGGGAGAATTGAACGGCGCACAAAATATTGGTCGGTATACTAAACGGAAAAAGACCATTAGGTAGACCAAGACGTTGATGGGAGGATAATATTATAAGAGACCTGAAAGAAATAGGATACGAAGACCGCGAATGGAAGGATCGCGCTCAGGGACGGGAACAATGACGGGATTTGGTATTTGCGGCAATGAACTTTCGAGTTCCTAATGCCAGTTAATAATAATAATAATACTTATTTGGTTATATATTTTTTTTTCTGTATAATTGTAGGGTTCTATTAACACGTGTATTAAGTTTGTAGTAACAGAGAGAGTTTCGGTTTTGTTTGAGATAGATTTTTATATATTTAATAAAAATAATATTTTTTTCTATTTAAATTGTAGATTTATATACGWTATATTTTATTATATAATATTTTTTATAATAGTTTTCACGAATTGGGTATATACGACTTACCAGCAATGATATCATATATTACAAATGTGAAACAAAGCAATTTAACATATATYGGTCATTCTATGGGAACAACATCATTTTATGTAATGTCCAGCTTGAGATCTGATATTGCTAGCAAAGTTCAAATGATGTTCAGTCTTGCTCCTGTTGCTTACATGGGCCATTTAAACAGTCCTATAGATATTCTAGCTCCTGTG